CTATCTATCTATCTATCTATCTATCTATCTATCTATCTATCTATCTATCTATCTATCTATCAAAAATTAGCTAAATATAAGAACAGTGAGCTAAAAAACAATAAAATGTTAGTGGATTTTTTAAACTAGGATTTTACACTCAGAAAGTGAGCTAAACAATGAAAAGTGTTAGTGACATTTTCTAACATTTTATTTTAGACTTGGCGCCTCATACTTTAATGGAAGTAAATTATTAGACTTCGAGTTAGTTGCAATAAAAAAAGGAGCAAATTAGGATTTAAAGTCTGTGACCAGGTTCGACATGTTTAAAAACCAAACTAAGCTCTGGCTGTGTCAAAAACAGCACGTTTAAWATATTTCATGTTTTAAATTCTGATCATGCTTGTTTTATGTTTTGGTTTTTTAATCATGTTTATAGGGTTTTATTGTAAGCTGTAGTGTCTTTGATTTATGTGTATGACTGTTTATATTATTATTACTTTAAAAAATTTGTAATACTTTTAAGACACATTTTAGATATACTGGTTATAAAAGCCCATCTAGGAACAAGTGCTGCAAATTAGCTCATGCTACAAGCACCATGATACAGGCATGAGACTGCTGTTTTATTCAGTTTGTCTGTCCCTATCAAATAAACTTATATATAAACTTATAAATAAATAAATAAATAAATAATAATAATAATAATAATAATAATAATAATAATAATAATAATAATAATAAATAAATCACACAGGAGGCTGATTCTTCATGTGGCCTCAGGCTGGGGGGCGAACCTGCGACCTAACAGAGACAACCGCTCTACCATCTGTGTCATCATAGTCATCAACGTGTTGTAATTTGACTAACTTTATGTTTTACGATCAAAAAGAAAAAATAAGTAGGTCCTCTGGATGGTTCTTTAGAGAAACGTTTCGTCTCTCCTCCAAGAGACTTCTTCAGTCTGAGGAGTTTCAGGTGAACTCAGCCTTATAAGCACTGCCTCCACATGGACCAACAGGTTAGTCACATGCAAAAGAGGGCCATTGACTAACAATAGGCTTGATTGGCTCTATTGTTCATAGAGGGTCATGTGTCCCATCACCTGACCCATGTTGTGTTATGTGAATGTAGTGAATGCAAGTGGGGTTTTTTAATATCCCTTTGTTTTTGTCCCTCTTTCCCTCTTTGTGTTGGTATCATTGGGGCCCATGATTCACATCTTTTGCTCACAGGGGGCGGAGT